AACTCCCTGAGCACCCCGCTCGGAGAACCCACCGCTATCAGCGGAATATCACTCGCTCTCATGAACAATCGGTTATACAAGTTGAGTGTGCTGTACTTTGTACAGCCATCATGTTGTTATGGAGAACATCCTTTCTAGGAATCGGCGTCTGTGCCGGAATGTAGGCAGCGTTTAGCTTATTGTAAGCGTAAACGATAGCGCGGCTCCCAGACACAAAACATGGGTGTCGAATGGGAAGACTTGCTCTCACGCACCATTCTTGCATCGTGCTTCGCACGGAAAACGGCGTCACCGACGTCAAACTGGCCTCTGGGCAGGGGTCATTTGCGTGTTACGCAGAATTTGGCTCCCAGAACCAGGCCAATCTCATGACGCACACCTTGATCCGGAGGTCTTTGGAGACGACGTCTTGTAATTCCTTAACCAAGGGATGGTACGGATCCGAAGGATTTTTCTGGGATTGGACGATCCACTTCATGCGGTTATCACCCTTCTTGCTGTCCTCCAGGACAGCTTCAATCAGAAGCGGCGAAGAGTAAGTCTCCTCGTTCGGTCGTCTAATGACCACCTCAGCTAAATTGTCTGCCTTCAAGTCACCGCTTAACCCTTTGAAGGACATCTCGTTCAGCTCATGAAGAGCACTCACCGAGGGAAAAGCCGTGATGGTGACTTTGCCGTCTTCCTCTCCCATCATATGATGTATAGCTGTGCGCTATCGTCTACGGTAGACACACCCTGGGGCAGGGTCGACGCCCTGCATCTTGCAGATATCATACGGTATCGCCGACTTCTCTCTATAGAGGTTTTTCGTCTCATGCAGACCAGTGAGATCAGGCACCCGGCGTCGTCTCGTGTCCCCACTCCCTGCTCCATCGGAGCCTTGGTGTTATTAACAACATCCGACGAGGAGCTGCTATTTTTATAGTCTTCGTCCAGTGCATAACGTGCCACACCACTCCACACGCAATACTATAGCCTCGCCTTCGATGCCACGGACCTCGTCCGACCATGCCACTATTGGTGTGCAGGAACTGCTTTGTAACGAGAGCAGTGCTCAGTGGGTTACGTACCACTCCACCTGCATCACTGGGACATCGCCCTCGATGCCTCGGCCTTGGCCGACCATGCCACTCTTGGCATGCAGCAACGGCTTTGATACTCCAGTGCTCAGTGGGTTACGTGCCATTCCACGATCAGCCCGCGACTCATGCTCGGGACTATCCCCAAGCTCGGGGACTGAGCGCGAGAATGGGCACTAACGCGCGGTGCTTCGGTTGAAACTGTGTTCCCTCCTGAAGCGTCAGCTTTTGCAATTGTTCCCACAGCCTAACCTGGCATATCGCGTGCGATCGAGTTTCCTTGCTGCCCGACAGGGGTAGAAGTAGTTGGTGGACTTTGTCAAAGAGTTGAGAACGCTCATTGCCGGGATGTCAACCGATCCTCTCCCCGAGGCGGTCGCAATGACCGTCTTTTTGGAGGGCCTCCACTCTGGCGTGGCCAGAACGGAAATCTTTTGTGTCAATCCGTCTTTTTTTGAAGGTGCGGTGAATGTGGCATTGAGTGCCAAATTTATGCAGGGGACAACCCGTGCGAAGGTGACAGGCGTCTCCACAGACAGCAAACCGTCGGGTGCTTAAACGCTGCTCGGCAGCTCGGAGCTCTACCTTCTCTTTTTCAGCATAGCTGGGATCCATTGGCTTAGACCTACTCGACGAGCCCTGAGAGTGTGCATTCCAACCAAGTCATGCTGACTTAAAGTTCACCAAGACTAAGGTCGGGTTCAGCACTGAAATTCCAAGCTATCAGCACAGGTGCCAACTGCTTCGACTTAACGTTCAATCCCAAGGAATCCAGTTAATGCGCATCAACCAACACCCCAGGGCTTGGTATCACCACTCAACTAACTCACAATGCTTTCATACACGGTCGAATCCATGCGTTATTCGCGACGTACCGTTGATGTTGCAATCAACTTCGGGACCCCAACCGCAAGTCCGGCGAGACCAACACTTTATCTTCACACAAGTGCAGCAACAATGCGTCACTTCTTCCAAAGTTGATGGGGGTCTATCAGAACCTCACGCTGGCCCAGATTATCAGAATCTGAGCCAATCAAGCGTTGAAGAGGACGCTGTTCATATGCCGCTCAATAGCTCGAATATTTATATACCCCATCGCTGCTTCCTATTTTTTTTTACTTGTAGTGTAAGAAATCAAATCCCGAAGGTGCAAATTGTCTCATAAAATTGCCAAAACTACTACATTCAACTTTCATCGCATGGGACAAGAACATGTATAAGAAAAGAATACCGCAGAAGCAAATTTGAGGAGAGATTGGTACATGACAGCGCGTCGTAAACGGAAAGCATTACGCAGAGCCTCAAACAGAGCAAAGTCTAAGAGCATGGAAGAGAAATCAAGGGCAAATCAACACCACAATGGGGTCTGTAGAATTACTGTTGCTAAGCCCGTAGGGAGACTTAATAAACCATATTTCCAAAATCGCGATGAAAGGATTGGAGATAAAATAGAATTGGAGTCGATTTCGCCAGCACAATTATCATTGTGGAACGGCATATCTCTGATTCAAAGTGCCGAACAACTGGCTGAGTGGATTTATAATGTCGCAAATCAAAGATCTATAAATCTGACACTTAATTGCTGCGAACGGAATGAGATCGTTCGTGATGCATTACTTCGACGATTTAATTGTTGGCCCGAAACAAAAAACATACAAGCCGCCAAACGGTATCAAAAGCTGATCCAGAAAGCTCATGATCAATGCCACGAGCAGGTCCAGTTGTATCTACACGATCTCCGCGGAAAATTACTTGCCGGAGCAGAAACGCTGTTCTGGCTCAGTGAGCTCCAGCCTCTTGTACATCCTGCGATCATGACACGTTTGGAAGCCAAGGACACTTTGGAAGCGTTCGTGGACGAAATTAAGAGCATTGACGGATTTTACCAACAATTAAACAACGGACGGTTGTGGCCCACATTAACTCTCCCTTTCAAACTTGAGTTTCTCTTTCAAGGTGTTTTTAACTTGGTGTTGCAAGGCTTCACACCTGCGGCATATGATGCAATGCAGATTTTTAAGTTATTTGCGGAAAATTATACTACATTTGATCAACGAGCGCCTCGCGGGCATCCCATCGGAATATCCATTATAGCTAGCATTGGAGCCTTATTTCCATTCGATACAGCTGACCTGAAACAACTTGATGAAGAAATTTGCGTGACCCTTTCAAGTCTACTCACCAGAATGGCCCGCGACTGGATCCGAGTTGTTGGCCAAGTTCTTGAACTTCTAGAAAAAATACTCATTACTAAATGGGAGCTGTGCGAGCAGATTCAAATTGAAGAAGAACTGATCATGTCGGTGCAAAAGGAGATTCAAAACACTTTTGAGCAGCTCAAGTGCTTGCTACTAGCGGATAAATTGAATTCAGAGAGACCAAGCGGTGACCGAAAGGCTCTGAATGTCAAAATATCAAATGAAGGTGGACAGCTTTTTAAAGTCGACTTGAGTTAAGCACGCATATACAAATATTTGAAAAAAATGTATCGCAATGCAATAGTTGAGGACCATATATTAGTATTTTAAATGGTATTGCAATATTATAGTATCGTTGTTCATGTACTAAATGCATCGCAAATTCTTGATTTCATTACCAACGTTATCAATTTGAAGATAGCTGACCGTTTATGCTAATGTCATTTTTCCCTGAAAAGGGATACAGTAACTGTTCCGTTGACTCTGGGTCGTGCGTGGCAAGTTATACCTCAAATTTTAACGGAGGCCACAAGCGGAACAGAAACTGCAGAGGTAACACATGCGTCTAGGTACCAATAAAAAGCTTATAAGCTCGAACTGTTTTCGCCTGCTGGAGTTAGTGCGAGAAGTGCAAAATGATGTCGAAATTGTGAAGCCAGTTTTAGAGGAGCTGGAAGTGATTCGACTGAGCTGCTCGCTTGGAATGCTATCGTCGATTTCAGCGAACGACTTTGAGGTAGAGATGTTGGCAGCTGAAGAATTCGATGACGATTTTGCTCTGTTTCTTCGAATGGAGTTGTTCGGAGAAAACGAGAGAGCCAAAACTGACGGAGTCAATTTAATTTCTCTATTTGGAAAGCAAGAAGCTGTTAGGTTTGAATTTATGCGACGTGGTGGTTGGTCCGACGATATGGAAAGTCATCTGAAGACGGGTGACCATGGAATTTATTGTGTCGCTCAACAGGAAAATTCTCGTATGTCTCTTACACTATTTAGCTGGATCCCTGATAATTTTTTTCAGAAGTCTCGACTGCGCGATACGGCAACATACGTGCTCCGATTTTTGACATGTCTCTGTCCTAATATGGTTTGCTGTCTGTCGGTTGATGATGTCGAGCTACTTGATCGAGCGGTGAAGTCCATGAAGACCACCAATTTGGACGCATGGAGGTCGTATTCAGTCGCATTTCATGTCGAACGGCAAGAGGAGCAGAAGGATGGTGTCATTTGTGAGGAACTGGCAACAGTGTCGTTACCCGTAAATTCTCCGACTGGGAAACCCCAGCTGCTGAAGGGAAGCTATCCTGCTTATTCTGTCGTAGAACCAGCTCCAGCGACGAAACGCACGATAGTCGAACATCGTACTTTTGGAAATATGAAAGACTTTGCATCATGGTTGATCGAAGAGGCTCATCAACGTACTGTGCAAATAGACTGGATGGGACTTGTTCCCAAAAGCTTTCGCCAAGTGTTACTAGAGACCGCTGAACAGTTGCCTATAGTGGAGCTGAAGAATGTTCGTGAAATGGTGGAGCGTAGTCGACAAACATTAGTGAAGCAAGCTAGCGAGGAAGTCCAAATGCTTATTGAAGAATACAGGGCGGCTCTTATCGACCACGCAGAGAAATTGTTTGATCTGGATGTATTGTTTAAGGTTGTAAAGGGGGAACCTGCTTTCGTGACTCTGAATCATTTTGTGCGAGATATGAAATCCCAGCGCAGCATTTGGAATGACCTTGATCAAACGACTCAAATGACGCTTACTTTTCCATGTCGGCTTAAAAAACAGATTAAATCAATAGCGTCCATGTTCCGTGATCATGGTAACGATGACGAAAGTGACACATTTTTGGCAACATTTATGAGTCAGCATATTACTGGTGATGAAGCTATAGCTGAAGCTTCTAGCGATGGCATATTTAAACGAACATTGAAACACCTTGGAAAAATTATAACACAAGACCAAGACCCGGTGCTTTTGTCAGATGAGTTTCGCATGTCCATAAAGAAACCTTTGACTTTAGCTCGTGAGACCTGGTTTTCGTCTGTAGAAAAAGTTCTTAAAGTTGCTGAAACCGCTTTAGTAAAAAAGTATTGCGATGATAATGAGAGGTCACTTCAGCAGGTGCATCAAGATGATGAACACAAAGTGATTTGTGATGCTTTCGAAAAGTTACTTTTTTCCTGGCGTACACAACACGAAGATAACCTTACGACAACTATTCGACCTCGTTTTCGGTTCTCGATGATTTACTGTAATCTCGAGAAAGAGCACTGGGAGCCTGCTACGGACCAACTTAAAATCATAAAGCTAACGCACAGTGACGGTGAACGATTCGAAGCCATTAAGTTGGGCACACATCGTTTGCCTCGGGGGGAAAAAGTTCTGAAATCATTTTCAATAAAAAATCACTGTATTGTGTTGGTGACAACGTCTCCGAACGGTACGACGGTAAGTCGGGTAAATTTTCCGCTTCAACGAAGGAGTCACGAGTGGGAGGTTGGGGTGGTAATGTCTGAGCGTCATTTTGGTCGATCTGCATCTCTGTGTGACTTGAATGTCAAAGAGCGACTTATCGCGTTTGTCGAGGAAGGTGGTCGGGTGGTGTTATACCGTTTCAATGAAACCTTTTCAAAACTTGAACTCTACAAACAGATTGAATTATCTTTGCGAACGTCGCTGAAGCTTCCAGTCACTGATGTGCTATTAGCGGACGAATTTTTTTACGCAACCGATTCAGAGGGGCTCATTCAGTCTGTAAATATAAGAAATCAACAATCGTCTCGGGCTACACTTATTCAAACATCAGGACCTGACACGCATTCTTTGTTCGCATCGGCTGACAGTTCAGTGCTGTGTTTTTTGGGATCAAAAGGACGTACAAACTCGGCTGAAGACAGTTACTGTGCAGAGTTGTATGCCGTGGCAAGTGAAGACTTTCGCAATGTTCCTGTGACTTTTATTGGAGATGTAGTACCCCGATCGAAAGCCCTGCTTGGCCAAATTTTCAATGACTTACTTTTAATTGTGAATGAGGAGAGGACTGTGTGTGTATACCGCCTTGCAGTGACTGTAAGAAGTGAGTCATTTCAAATCCAGCACTCGAAGGAGCACTCGGTCAATGGTAGTAAAACGAATGCTTCGGGTGGTAATGATACAGATCACTGGTTACGAGTATTTTATCATACATATGAAAAGTTTCCCGTGCGTGGCTTGATCCAAGGTGTTGACGATACCAGATCTACAATTAAATTGCAGATAACGTCTATAGCAGATATGACTGAGCAAGATAAAGACAGCTGCCTCTCCTTTTTCCAAAATTTGATGCGAGATTTGCGAAAGTTGAACAAACCTTTGTGTGGAATGGATCTTGCGCGAAACCTGGCATTCGTGACAGATGTTTTACGTGTTCATATTGCTCCACAACCCGCTCGAGAATTTGTATTGAATCTGATAACGTTTGTTCCGATACAAATCTGTCGAGCCGAAGCAAATTCACTTACGGTCATGACGAATGGCAAGGCGAATTCAATAAATTCTCAAGCGCAGAAACTACACGCCGTTGACATTGCACGCTCTATTCGATTTGGCTTAATCTCGCCATTGCTTGAGTCGTGGCAAGGTCGATGTGTTGTGATCACTTCAATGGGAAAGCAGTCAACAGGCAAAAGTTATCTGCTTAACCATTTGACCGGATCATCGTTTGCCATTGCTGGAGCTCGTTGTACTGACGGAGCTTGGATGTCGATTCGAATTCTACCCAACCAAGTTCTTTTAGTTGTTCTTGACTTTGAGGGCCTCGGTTCCTTCGAGCGGACGGAACAAGAAGATGTATTTCTCTCAGTCCTTAATGCATCGATATCTATGTTCACAATCTTCCGTATGGAAATGCGTTTTGACAAAGAGATTGATGACTTATTTGCTCGATTTCAGAAAGGTGTGGCCTTGATTAAGGGTGATCCAACGCTTTTTCGAGGTAAATTATACATGTCCGTTAAAGACGTGAATCCTAATGATCAAAAGGGAGTGCTGGATGAGTTCTTCGTTAAGTTTCAAAAGCTGGTTGGTGCAAACAAAGATAGCAACTTTTTGCTGGATATGTATTCTGGGCAGTTGGATATCAATTGTTCTCCACCATTGGGTACAGTAAGCTACTACCAGTCACTGATGCACGCTCAGAACTATATCGAAATGTCATTGTGTGGAGTGAACAACGTAGGCTTTAGAAGCGGAAAGACTTTTTTAGATTGCATCCGATTGGTACTTGCCAAAATCACGATTCTTGATTGGACGTCGCTAGACGAAAGTGCGAAGCAGTTTCAGTTGTCCGAAATCACATCCAAGTTGTCAGGCCTTTTAAGAACTGGGTGTCTCATTCCGCAGGAGTATGTCCAGAGAAATGAAGACGCGCCCTCATATTTAAAAGAGAAAATTGCTGAGACTGGCAATGGTGAAGTGATCAATGTCGACGTGAAAACATTATGTGACGAATATCTAGCTCTTGGTGAAAAGTGGAAACGGTTAAATAATTCTATTGATCTTGACTTAATTAATGACTGGGATATTGATTTAGGCTTCGACTGCTGCTCTTCAGAAGATAATACCATTTCAGAAGTGCACACCGCAATTAAGCAGCTTTTACGAATATTCTTAAGATCGAACACGAGTATCCAGGGTGGCAAAGTTCCTCGAGGAGTCGAAGTCGATTTTGACGCATTCTTGTCATTCTTTGTTCGGCGTCGCAAGGCCCGAATTTCCATCTATGTGAAGCAAATACTTGGCGATCGAATGCCTGAAGAATGGACAAATATTGAGCAACAGTTTTTAGGTCGATTTCAAATTCTTTTCTCACGCTGTCAAAGCCATTGTAACGAATGTCATCTTGGATGCATGAAAGCTGCTGCGCATTTGGAGCCAGCACATCATAGTTGCGGAGGGAATCATATTTGCGGTGGTCGCTGTGAGTACTGCGACAGCAGTGAGAACTGCGGCAAGACTCCACCTTGCGACAAAGAAGCTGGCCACGAAGGCAAATGTGAGTGCCGTGATGGAGATCATACATGCGGGCGAAAATGCTGCATGGATAGATCGCCTAATTGTGGAAGAAAGTGTTCGTTAAAGCGAGGCCACTTAGATTTGCACAAGTGTGACGTGGTCGTCCACACTTGTGGTCAAAAATGCTCCGCCAAAGGCTGCTCAGGTCGTTGCATTTTAGATGTGGAAAATTCTCATACTGCTCATAAATGTGGCGAAGAACGCTGTATGCAAGAATGTGTTATGGATGGATGCAATGAAGTCTGTGGTGTGTTGGATCATTTTCACGGCCAAGAAGACGTTTCAGTTGTGTTTTCGGTAGAAAACAGTGATGAGAAAGAGTCACGTACATTTGACGCCGTTTCTGAAACTCCGATTGTCCACATGTGCACAAATGGACATGAGTGCCAATCCATGTGTCAAGAGAACGGGATCTGCAAAGTGGATGTTTTTCTCAAAAAGTCGTCGAAGACTTTTACGGGTGATCGTGGCAGTTTTCAGTTTAATTTTCAGGAGATGAATGGTGCTCGAAAGAAATGCACTAAACTGCTATCCAGTGGTCAGATGATACATCAGGGTCCACATTCATGTATCTGTGCACAAAATGACCAAGTGAAAAAAGATGTTATACATTATTGCGATGTGCGGTGTCCATGCTGCAGCTATTTTTGTCAAAAGAGCTATGGTCACCATGGGGCGCATACGACATCTCACGGCAATATGCGCAATACGTTCTTCTTATCAGACACCCAGGATATTGATATTGAGGAACGCAAGTATAAAACCGGCGAGCTGGGCATTGCTGAAATGTGCAATTTATACTGTTCAAAAATGGGTCGTGAGCACGTGCACTATCTTGAGTGCGAGCAAAGTAGTGAAGCCCAATGCATATACTCTGGAAGCGCTTCCGATCAACGTCGTCACTGCAAGCGAGCGCTGGAGCCAAAGCCAGACAAAGAAATGGATGAGGTACTACATAAAAAATTCTGGGAACACTTGGGTTGGGAGGATCCGTGCACGTCCAAAATGGAGCTGGAACTCTTTGGCAAATGTGGCTACAAGTGCGACGCTCCCGACCACGATGATCAACCGTCGTATTGTGTTCTTCCTGCATGGCACAATGCTCTGCCAAAGTCGACGTCTGGTTTTGATGGATTTACGTATGTGAAGGGACACAAGTTTGAATGTTCACACCTTGCAAGCGGTGGAAAAATGCACCACGTGTTTGTTCTAGATTGCTCAGGCTCAATGCAAGGACAGCCTTGGAGTGACCTCATGGGTGCATGGAAGGAGTATGTGTACAACCGCATCTCAGGCGGATCTACTTCGGACTTAGTGTCGGTCGTCACATTTGACAATTCAGCACAAATCGTTTACGAGGCTCAATACATCACGATGATGCAAAATGTTAACATTCCATATCGTGGTGGAGGAACGAATTATGCCGTTGGACTGCGATGTGCAAACGAGGTGTTGTCCAGGGTGAATTTCGAGGAATTTAAACCAGCGATTGTATTCTTTAGTGACGGACACCCGATTGATCCGCTTGAGGGTGAACGACTTGCAATGCATATCAAAGGGTGTTACGAAAGGAATGGGCTGCAAGCATTTGCTGTGGGCTTCGGAAGCATTAATCTGAACATGTTGGAGCGAGTGGCAGAAAAGTTGGGGGGCACTTATCATCACGTTCTCACTGGAAATGAATTAAAGACAACATTTTTTACGATATCGGCATCCTTGAGCACTCGAGTGGGTCTTGCCTTGGCGAAACCAGACCATGAGCGAAATTGCGTGATATGTGGACAAGATTTGGCATCGGGTGAGACAGTGAAATTGGAGACATGCAAACATGAGCTTCACAAAGTTTGTTTGGATGTGCTGGAGCGCAACGCCAAGCAGGACAGTGAAGTCGCTCATTGTCCGTCTTGCCGCCGCGAAATTTCCTTTCAAAAGGCTTAAGCATTTTATATATCTCTACGTTATGAAGGGTTGTTGTTAAGTTGAAAAAAAATCGATATTTTTCTTCTGAGGTCTTGCTTAGTTAGGATACTGAGAAATGTTGCACTCGAACAGTTTGTTTATGTTTCGTATGTCACGAATCTTTATTTTTTGTGCGAAAGACGATGGGATAAACCTTCGGCTAATAGAAATATAATCAAGAGATCTAAAATTTTGACAGGTGGATTTTGATAATACACACCTAGTTCACTTCACATTGTGCATAAAGCATGTTATTCATATCTGGTACCAATGGTCAGCTTCATGAACGTAAGCATACATGTAGTGATGTTGATGATGAAGGTCAGGTATATTGTATTACATGTAGATGAACGACGATACCCTTTCTCCTAGCTACACTGAGTTATTACGCGTTTCGACTAGGAGGGAGCCGGCGTTCAGCCGCCAAAGGCGGCTCGCCGGCTGGATTTCGGAAGAAGTCCCTCGTTCTAGCTTCTCTAGAACGATGCTTCATCCAAGACAGCTGAGACCTGCAACCAAACTCTTGGAGCCAGTATTGTATGTCTTGGTTGAGGTGTTCCGCAATGGCTTCCCAGTTTGGGTGAGAGGTGCTTGCTTCACATTGTGGGATCGACATGAATCATTGCGATGTTTGATGCGCGATCTGCCATTTTGTTGTATGCCCTTGGGTGATGGCACCAGCCGACGACCTATAGCTTGCGAATCTCGAGCTGGCACTGAGCATAACTACGCCAAAGGGTGTGCTTTTTTGGAGGCCGATGTTCTCGCATCTGTCCGATGATCATTGAGCTGT